TCTAACTGGGATGAGGCGATCTCTCATTGTGGTTTCAATTTGCATTTATCTGATGATTAGTAATGTTGAGTATTCTTTCATGTGCCTGTCGGCCATTCATATATCTTCCTTTGAGAAGTTTCTGTTTAAGTCTACAGCTCTTCTTAAATTGAATTATTTGATTCTTTTGCTTCTGAGTTGTTTGAGTTTCTTATCTATTCTGACCATTAACCCTTTGTCAAATGTATCGCTTGCAAATACTTTCTCACATTCTGGAGCTGTCTCTTCACTTCATTGTTTCCTTTACTGTGTAGAAGTTCTTTAATTTGATGCAATGTGTATATTTTTTGCTTTTGTTTCCTGTGCTTTGAGAGTATGACCCAAAAAGTCCTTGCTTTCTATTTCAATGTCCTAAAGTGCTTCTCCTATGTTTTCTTCTAGTAGTTCCAAAGTTTCAGGTCTTATATTTAGGTATGTTTTCCATTTTGAATTGATTTTTGAACATAGTGAGAGACAGAGGCCTAGTTTCATTTTTCTGCATGTAGATATACAGTCATTCCAGCACTACCTACTGCAAATACTGTCCTTTTCCCAATGCATGTTCTCAGCACCTATGTCAAAAATCAGTTGGCTGTAGATACATGGATTTACTTGGAGGGTCTCTATTACATTCCACTGGTCTATGCATCTTTTTTAAAATGCCAACACCATACAGTTTCACTTACTGCATCTTTGTAATATATTTTAAAGTCAGGGACTGCAATGCTTCTTGCCTTGTTTTTTTTTTTCACTCAAGATTGTATTGGCTATTTGGGGTCTTTTGTGATTTCACACAGATTTTAGTAGTGTTTTTTCTAGTTCTGTGAAAAATGCATTGATATTTGGATAGAGAGTGCAATGGATCTGTAAATTGCTCTGGGTAGTATGTGTATTTTAATGATATCAATTCTTCCTATCCATGAATATGGAATGTCTTTCCATTTCTCTGTGTCCTCTTCAATTTATTTCATCACCATTTTAGAGTTTTCACTTAGAAATCTTTCAACTCTAGGGTTAAGTTTATTTCTAAGTATTTAATTAATTTAGTTTCGCAGCTATTGGAAATGGAATTGCTTTCTTGATTTCTTTTTCACATAACTCACAGTATAACAATGCTTCTGAGTTTGGTACATTAACCTTGTGTCCTAGAACTTTGCTGAATTCATTTATTAGTTGTAATAACTTGGTGGAGCATGTGGGGTTTTCCACATACAAGATCATGTCATCCTCAACAATGACAATTGATTTCCTTCCTCCCAACAGGGATGCTTTTTTTTTTTTTTTTCCCCTGCTGGACTGAATCCTTTAACATTTCTTGCATTGTCACAAGAAAAGAGGAGGCTGTGACATAACAAAATGGCCTCATACCAGAGGCACCCCAAGAGTAAGAGGGAAACACCCAGCCCCTCACAGTCACTCTGTGTTTGGGGGTCACCCACATCCTTCTTTCCCAGAGCCCCAGATAATGCTGTAGACCTCATCCTGGGCTTTGGGATCCACAGCCCAACAGCAAAGATCCCGACAGACCTTTGGTTAGCCCAGTAGTTTCCAAATGTATTTCACTGCAAAAGCCCATTCTGAGAAAAACCTATTCCACCCTCCATCTACTTACCCAACCTCTGAGCTTCTGACACAAAAGCAGGGGTATGTAGGAATCCGGGGCTTCCCTGGGCAAAAGCCCAGAGCCATGTGGCTCCAGGTCACTCCCAGCAACATTTCCAGGTGCCTGGTCTTGGTAGCACACCCCAGCAGCCCCCTGACCTTCACAGCCCCTGGCCTCAATGGGCTCCCATGTGAGGACATGAAGGAAGCAATGTCTACTGGTCCCGTTGACTCTCCTACCCAGGGACTTCACACCTACCCATCTACATTTATAACTCTGGTGACCATTAGAGGAAGACAAGCACATCGAGGAGTTGCAGGCAGGGGGGAGCCAGAAGAACAAAGGAGAAAAGAAACTTCCCTGGCACGACTGAGACCACACCCCACAAGTGCCTGTGCAGGTCCACAGTTCACAGAGCGCTTCCTGGCACACTGTACTCATCTCACTATAGCCTCCTAAAAGCTAGGTGTTACTATATTGTCACTCCCAGCACACCATGGAGGAAAGAGAGCCTGGGAAAGGCCCATGTCACAACAGGGCAGAAGAGGTGACATCCTATCTGGAGCTCACCCTACGCTCACCATGCAACCTGTCCCATATCCAAAGGTTGGAAGAAGAAAAGGTAAGAGGAGGCATAACTTGGCAGCCCTTATGGTACGGAAGGGGGAAGACTTGAAACCGAAACAGCAAAGGGCAGTGTGGATGAGTGCTATGGTCTGTATATGTCTCCTCTGAAACCCAGCAGGTGCCAATGGGACAGCTTGAAAAGCTGTGGCCCCTAAGAAGCTATTGGGCCGTGAAGACTCTTCCTCCATGAGTGGCCCTGAGGCCCTTATAAAAGGGGCTTCGCACACCATTTAGCCAGTCTGCCCTTCTGCCTTCTGCCATGTGAGGGAACAGCATTTGTCCCCTCCAGAGGGCGCCTCTCTCACCACACAGCCTGCCGGTGCCCTGGCCCTGCACTTCTCAGCACCCAGAACTGTGAGAAGACAAACGCCAGTTCTGTATAAACTGCCCAGGCTTGGGTACTTTGTTAACAGCAGCACAAGAAGATTGAGACAGAGCCTCAGACAAAAAGTGGCATCAGTGTTGAGACAAAGGAGAGTTGGGATGGGAGAGAAAGGTACCCTCCCCAAGCCAGGGAATCCTCCCATGAGTGCATCGTTGCCCTGGGCTCGAGGGCAGGTGGGGCAGGGAGGGAGCTCTTGGCACCACACTGGGCATCTCCTCCTGGCACCAGGGCCTGCTGCCCACGGTGGGCCTCACTTCCCTGAGCGCTTCTGCAAGGCTGGATTTGTGAGCGAGGGCATGCCTCTCACAGTCAGCCCTGTGATGCTCATACCAGAATTAACCACCGAGTGGTATTCCTGACAGTGCTGACCAAACCCCACGGTCTGAGCTGCCCACCGAGTCCCTGGCTCACACAGTGTCCTTGTCTGAGGTCCCGTGACACAGGGACGCCTGCAGCCGCAGCCATGGGCAAGCAGTCATAGCCGTCACAGCAGTTCACTGCCCGAGCTGATGGCCTGGCTCCTCAGACGTCCTAAAGACGGAGCAGCCTTGAGGTCCCCCCACATCTCCAAGTTCTTCCCAATGCCAACGAGAAAGCACACACGGTGTGCCTGTGAGTGTATCGAATAAGAAGGGACAGGTCGGGTGAGTGGTCAGCCCTGGCTTCCTGCTTCACTTCGGACGGCCCAGCTCTGTGTTCTAGGACCTGGCTGCTGGTACCACAGGCACTGGCTAGGCCATGGCTTCAAGCAGCTGGACTCTCCCTGAGCTTCGTGGGCCTCTGCCTGACAGTGGGGACTGTGGCTGCCTGAGAACGGATGCCAGCTGGTGGCCAATGCCTCCTGCAGATCCCCCCTTCCCTCCTGCTTCTGTGGTATCCAGAGGGTAGAGCCGGGGCTGCCCACTGTGTGAAGCTGGCACTCGGTGAATGGTGGCACTGGAGGCTGAGATCTTCAGATGAACAGGGGACTGGAGCCTGGCACCCCCTGCACCCAGCCCCAGAGCCCCAAGCCCAGAGCCCCTCCTCCTTGCTCCTGTAAGGACCAGCAAGGCTGCAGCCAGAGTGCTCTGGAAGGGACAAAGTTATCCAGAGGCCTCTAGGGCTCCTCTGGCTTGGGGGATGCAACAGTGGGCTTCAACTGACAGCCAAGTCAGGGAAGCCTGTTGGTGGCACAGTGGGGTTTGGACCCAGGTCCCTGGGCTCTGAGTGCCCCAACTGCTCAGTCTTCTCTGATTGGCTTTGGAAATTAAAAACTCTTCCTGTATAAGCAGCTAAGGGAAGCAGAGCCTGCTGAGGGCCAGCCAGCTTGGAAAAAGGAAGGAAGGAGAGCTGTTCACTGGAAGGCCCAGCTTGGCTGCCCTTGGCCCACAGCAGTGGGGGTGAGGGTCCCCCTGGAGAGCTCCCAGGAGCACGGTGGCACTGAGGGCCTACTGGAGCAGGGAGAGGATCAGTGAGGCCGAGAAGCCAAGGCCTAGCAGAGCAGGAGGCCCCGGGCCAGCCAGAGGTGACAGCCTTGCTACCCCAGATGGCACATGCTCACAAGAGTCTCTGGAGTCAGGAGATCTAGGCCAAGGCCCTGCTGCAACTTCTCTGCTAGCATACTCCTAGGGACGAGAGACTCACTACCTCCTGAGACAGTCTTTGCATTGCTGGATGGAACGGTGCCAACCTGCTGAACTGATGGTGTCAACCTGGAGCCTCCTCCACCCAACGCCCCTTCCAGTGTCAGGATTCACATACCCCAAGTCTCCCTGACACGCCACCGTTTCTGGCCTCTCCTCACCCTACACCCATCCCCTAGAGGACCCTCTGAGGCATGAACTGGCAGGCCAGCAGGGCCACCCACTCCCTGCTGTGAGGCTCAGCCTTGGCCAGCACAGTCCAGCCTTGCAAGACCTTGTCCGGGCAGCAGTGGCGCCTGCAGAAACTCTGCCCTGGCCAGAGGCTGGTGATGTCTGAGCTGTGCTCCTGGCACCGCCAGGGAGAACTCCCAGGGGCTGGTGGGCCTGGGCTCCGGACCCCTCCACCCGGTCTAACTCCAGCAGAGCTCCTGCAGCCGCCTGGACGAACGGGGCTTCTACCCCAGAACAAGCACAGAGTTCAAAATAGCTACTGGGGCTGCCTCTCCTTGTCCCAGCTCCCCTCCGGCATCCTGCACACTTGCAAGCATCCAAGGAAGGGGACCTCGTGGAGGGACCTGGGCTCTCGGCTCTACTCGCAGACTCCCGGGAGACCCTGCACAGCGCTGCCCCTAGGAACAGAGCTTGGCTGGCAGGGGCGCGCCTCCTGGCGGCTGGGCCGTGGGGCTGCAGGGGCGTGGCCTGGGGCGTGGCCTGGGGCTGGGGGCGCGGCCGGGGCAGCACTCACAGGGCAGCGTCTCGGCGCTGTTCTTCTGGATCATAATGCAGAGCTGTAGCACCAGTTGGGGGGCGCTCTCCAGGAAGGTCTCAAGGAGGCGCAGCATGTTGACGTCTGCATATTCGTACATCATAGCCCAGTAGAAGCGTCGCTGGTGTTCCTTCTGCCGCCGGCTCTGAATCCCCAGGTACATGGTGCGGATATACCTGCCGGAGACACGGGCACAACACAGCGTGGGTGGGGGCCGGAACCGCCCGCGTCCCGGCCCCTGCCCTGAAGTTCCCCGAGGATAGGGTGGGTGCTGAGGCCGCATGTGGGCCCCCACCCCCACCCCGGCAGGTCCCCACGTGGCCTCCGCTCCTCTGCAAACCAGATGAGCCCAGGGCCTGCCGGGTGAGCCTCTCAGATGGGTTTTCTCAGGTTCAGGTCCCAGGGGGCGGGGGACGCATTCTAGCAGGGCTGCCACCTGTTGCTCCAGGGGACAAAGGGAAGGGAGTTAACATCGGGGAAGCTGCTAAGCCACCGGTGGGCTGGTCACCCTCCGGCGCTAAGTAGGTAGGTGCAGGTCTCAGGGATGGCAGAAAAGCAACAGCTGGGGTTCACAAGGGCCACTTCTCTGCCAGCACTCATCCCCTGGCATCACTGTCCAGGCATCACCCAGGGTACAGTTCCAATCCACTGACAATCCTCCCCCACCCCGTCTCCAGAGCACACGCAGCCTCCCTGAGAGCATCGAGGGGCCAGGGAAGCAGGTACAGTGGAGTGGAGTGCAGGGCTGTGGGGCACCTTGTTCACCGTGCCCGCCTTCCTTCCCCCCAGTGGGGGCGCCATACAGAGTGGGTAGGACGACTGCTGAGAGACAGCAGAGTAGACTCACCCTGGGTCATAGGGGAAAACCCCACCTCTCATTTTTACCTAAACCGTTCTGAAGCTGTGGCCCTGAGCCAGGGTAAGTGGAACCCCCGAGCTACCACCTACAGCTGCCAAGTGATCTTGGAGGCAGGGGTCAGGATTGTGCAGGTAGGGTCACAAGCAGGAACCATTAAACTGCATTAGGGGGGAAGTGCCAGGGAGCCAGGTACAGGCACAAGTGCCCACCCGGGGCTGCTGGATGGCTGCTCTGTCCCCACTACTGCCATCAGCCTGCTCCCGGCCCCTCCCCCTTCCTCAGCCGCCTGCCCCAGGAGAACCCCGTCCCTACACGGCAACCAAAGTGCTCTTTGACAAGCATAAATGCGGTTGTGCCTCTCCCTTCTTTCCCACGCTCCTGCAGCTGTCCCTGTGCTGAGACAAACGCATGCCCCTTCCTGTGGCTCAGGGTCCTGCTGCCCCTCCAGCCCCTGCCCCTGTCCTCCTCATCCCTTCTCGGGGCTTTTCTCTCCCTCTGGAGCACCTGCAAGCAGGGACCTGTGCATGGCTCCTGGTACTTCCCCAGGGTCTGCTACAGTGCCTGGCACGAGGCAGGATGTGCGGAGAGCAAATGGACCCGGAGGGGCTGCCCGTCCTCCAGGGCTGAGTGTGGACAGGACAACACTGACACAACACGTCAAAGGTCGCCTGTGCTGGCGTCGAGTTTATGAGATGCATTGCAAAGTGAATCGCAGGAGCCAGGGGAGACTTGGGCACTGCCCAGGCCTGTGCACAGACACTGTGGAGGCATCATGCTTTAGAAGCCAGCATCCCAAAGCAGACGCTCGCAACAGAAGTTCAGACTGTAAAGCGATGCTCTTTTCTGATCACAAAGTAGGGGTGTCACTCCAGAGTGCTCATTATGGACTGAACCCTCTGGTGGAAGGGAGTTCCAGGGTCCCCCCCAGAGTACCCCAGGATATGCTCTCCACTGAGCCCCAGGGTGACCTCAGAATGAACGTGTCAGCAACAGTGCGCCCCCCACTGGACATCTGAGGAAAGCAATGGAGTTTTCTCTCCAGATTCCTAAGAACCCCTGGGGGAGGGCCTGGGTGACTGTAGCTGCAGGAACTCCCCCTGGGGAAGCTGGGAGAGGCACCCCCATTTCTTTGCAAGTGCAATCCCTAGAGAGAAGGGAGACACGCCCCTACTAAGCTGTGTGGCAGCTCCGGCATGGAGGGGTATGGGGAGGTACAGGTGTGCCAGGCCCCGGGCAGGGGTTTGCAGCTGTGCCGACTCGTGGCGTCGCCTTGTGGGGCGGGTCTGGGGTCACCATACAACACATGGGGAAACTGAAGCTTTGCTTCTCTCGCCTGATGGCACTCTCCAGAAGTTCCTGCCTGAAACCACACAGTCCCGGGAACAGGCGACAAACTCGGGAAAGGGAGGGAGAGGGAGGCAGAGAGACAGAGAGAGACTTCAGAGAAATGGAGAGGTGGACACAGAGAGGCGGAGACGGAAGAGACAGAAACACAGAGGGGAGACGCAAACAGGAGACAGAGATACAAGGAAGAGTGAGACACGGACACACAGAGATACAGAGACAGGAGACTGAGAGACACAGAGCTGGAGACAGAGAGAGAAGTGGGAGGGAGGGGAAGGAGGGAGGGAGGGAGGACTGAGGCAGGGCAGGAAGTGTCAAGGCTCAGGCCTGAGGGAGAAGACCACCAGGAAATCGTAAAGATAAGGATGATGGGGGGGGGGCGCCCTCTGAGAGGAGATGGCTGAGAGGCCGGACCCTGAGTGTCAGGTGGAGGGAAGGCCATCCTGATGGGTGTGGTGGCCGCTGGGCAGGCCGAGTGTCAGGTACAAGGATGTCCTGGTAAGGCAGGCCGCAAGCCCAGCGACCACCCCAGCACCCAGCACAGCCATGTAGCCGCAGAGCCTTGCGCAGGGGTGCAGCTCTCCCCACAGGGGCTGCTGCAGCACATCACGCCCTGGCCCCAGACTCACACTAGGGACCAGAGAACCCTCTCTCAGGGGGACCTTCAGGCCCCAAGCCTCACAAGCGGCCCAGCTGCTGGAGGCATGGTGACATGGTCATGGGCCCAGGGGAGGCCAATCCACAAGTTCATGGGCATCTGCCCTCCCAGGGCAAACGGGGCACTGATTCCACCCCAGAGCCACAGCTGCCTCTGCCCCCCAAGGCCAGCGCAGAAGATAAGGAGCCCAGCACATGCCGATCCCATGGGGTGTCTGCCTGCAGGAACCAACCCTGAAGGCCTTCCAGGGTGAGGGAAGAGACCAGGCTGGCCGCACGCAGAGCCACAGCCGCTCCCCACCGAGCTGAGCGAGCAGAGGCAGGGCCCGCGGCGCATCAGGGTGAGGTAGCGGTCAGGTGTGGGCGTCCCTCCCTCCCTGGAGTAGCAGCTGAAGCACTGAGTCCAGGGTTCCCGGGTGCCCAGGCCACACCTGTTCTGTCCCCTCCCCTTCTGTCCTTCCATCCCTGGGATGAGTGAGGGGACTGGTTTGCAGTATAACAAGGCCTGGACCCCCACCTAGCCCCACACCCATTTTATAGGCTAGGACCCCAGTGCTAGAGAGGGAGCTGACCCCCGTGTCACTCACTTCAAGGGTCTGCGGGGCAGATCCGGGAATAGCACAGGGGCCTTGGACTCTGACCTTGCGCATGCCCCTCGTGCCCACCACTCCCTCTCCCTCTGCACTTCCCTCAAGGCGTAAGGAGCTGCCAGGAAGCCCCCGCGGGGCGGCGTGGGAACAGTGCATCTCTCCTCCACACCCCTGGGCCAATCCGCGTGTCTCTGACCTCAGTCTCCATCGTGTGCAATCCTGGTCGGTCGTCTGGGTGACCTCTGAGGCTGCCCTGCCGGCTGCTGGTGCAGAGACAGCCTCAGCCCGCGGCCAGACCCTAAGCGTTGCGGGAAGGGAGCTCCACGCCGGTGAGCTCATAGCTAAAGGCGGGCGCCCTCCAAGGCGGCAGAGCTGGGTGCAGGCACGGCCCCAGTAGGTAACATAAGCTGGGTTGTCACACCCCCTCAGAAAGCTCTTGACCCCTCGGAAGGTGGCTCAGGAGGGAAGGCACCCAAATCTCTCCCCTGGATGGCTTGCAAGTCTTGAGTCATCTCCTGTCACCCCCTCTCCCCTAAGAGCACTAGATTATGAAATGCATGGGTGTGAAGGCAAGGAGCCATGTGTTACCATGGAGTTAGCGCTCCAGAAAGCTGGGCATGGTCTAAAGTCTGCAGGATTTTGCAACCTTGGACAAGCTGCTTCCCAAGGGTGGGATGGGACCCTCTCTGGTGGGACACTCCCAAACCCACCAACCCTTAAAGTCCTCATCTGTGAAGTATTTCATGCAGGACAGGATCCCAGGACACGCTGTACACATGGCTGAATGCATGCCTTTGTGCCCCATCAGGGGGTGGTAGGGCCCAGGAGTGGCAGGAGACCAGAAGTCGCAGTGCAGGTGGCAGCTTTGGGACCCCCTGGGTGGCTCTCCTGCCTTTCCTGCCGCCCTCCCCACCCCACTCCGTGACTTCCTTGGTGAGCTGTGGAGTCGCGTGCAGCTCCTCCTCACCTGTCTCCAGGAGCATTCTCTAGTGCCCTGGGCCCGTTTCCATTTTTGCACCAGCACTCAGAGGGGGACACAGTGGTCACCGTCTTGTCCCTGTCGCTCATCTTCAGCTCAGAGAGGCTAAGTGACTCCCCCAAAGTCACACCACCAGACACGGCCCAGGCACATCAGCCAGGTCTTGCCCAGACTACGGGGCCCTGGGAGTTCGCTGGAGCTTGGCTGAGCATGCGCACCTGCCTGGGCCTGAGGTCTCGGGCTGCTTCCTGGGACATGCTCAGAAGTGGCATTTTGTGGCCATTTGTAACTGTGGAGAGCAACCCACTCTCCAAGCCCCAAGTGATTCCAGGCTTTGTGGGGGCCTGAACCTTACTAGAGGCTCGTTCTTTAAGGAAGAAAAAAAAGTAAATTCTATCGAACATGTAAAGTATAAATAGCACTAACTCTACAAGCTTGTCCCGAAAATAGAAAACAGAAAGAACACTCCCCCCTTCGTTTTATGAGGCCAGCATCAGTCTGATACTAAAGCTAGACAAATGTCGTATAAAAAATAAAACTGCAGACAACATCCCTCATAAGCATAGATGCAAAAAGCTCCAATCAAATTCGCCAATTGTGGAGCCGGCATTGTGGTACAACAGGTTAAGCCACTGCTTTTGGTGCTGGAATCATATCGGAAGCTTTGCTTCTACTCCAGCTCCCTGCTAATGCATCTGGAAAAGCAGCAGAGGATGACCCAAGCATGTGGGTCCCTGTCACCCATGT